GCTCACAAGAATACACAAAATGTAAGGTGAAACCATACATTCGCAATTGATAAGAATGTAAATGAGAAAAAAGAAAATAACAGCTGAAAATAAACAACGTACATTGAAGCTTGGAAGACAGTATGAAGTGCAAACACACCATGGAATCTCATTATAATTGCTATGTTTGGACCATACATTTGGTTCCAAGCTTTCTAGTAGTCAAGAAAAGGAAAACATCATCTGTCCCACACATTATAAAATCTGTAAAATAAAACCACGTGTTTATGATGTTCTTTTCCTAGGCTAAATCCTGAAAAAGTTCTATACTACAGTATCATAAAATGATACCAAACTATGCTTCCTAAATTGCATTTTAACACCAAAAGTGGGATGTGCCAAAACCTGGAACAGTCTCCAACAGAGACATATTCTCAAACATAAAATTTCATCTACTGATTATTTTCTCTTCTACCTGTCTCTTGTTCCATTTGGTCAATGAAATATAGAGATTAAAGAAATTTCTTTAAAAAAACAAATCGAGGGATGCCCACTTTTGTAAGTAAAGAAAAAATTTTCAAAACGCTTTTAAAAATTCCTGTGTATCACCAAATCACATATTTTCATTTAAGTAATGTAGACTGACTATGTGACAATATTTATAATGGGAAAATTATGAAAATACCTCAAACAACTAACAAAAGAGCACAAGTTAAATAAAGCCTGATGACACCATATGTATTATATTGAAATATATGTCAATATAATATTCATTCAATATAATATTCATATATAATGAAATATTATACACTTTCAAAAATGACAAAGCCTTTTTAAATGAAGGCAAATATTCATGAAAACATCGATAAATTTAAAAAGCAGAATACAAAGCTGTATACATTATGAGCTTAACTATGTAAAGATGTACACATGTATTCATGTGTATGTATATATACACATTCACCCATTGGAATATTCTAGAAAGAACTTCCTCAACATGTCAGCATTATTTCTGAGATTTGTGATTATGAGCAATTTTTATTTTCTGTACGCTTATTATTTTCCAAGTTAATGCTGATGAATAATTTGATGATGGAAAAAGGTCAGTGAAGAAGAATATCAACCCAGTTACTTTTGGCTTATATAATTATAAACAATTTTTATTTTCTTTTAATATTTTTTATGATTGACATGTAGATTCCAGTATGGGAAAATCTACTTTTAAAAAAAGTAAGTTCAAAATCCTAGTTTATTGGTAGTCTGTAAGCTTTTACATGCTACAAACATCATAATACTTCACAATTACCTGGCAGTAGTTCACTTACGTTTTGTAGCAACTTGGTATTTACAACTACATTTGGTTATCACAAACATTTGGTGAGGTATGCCAAATCTGGTCATTCTCGGTCAACAGGTGATAAAAACTCAGGTTCACAGAAGCTACATGACTGGCTCCAAAAATAACAATCATTACAAGCAGAGCCACACAAGAACCCAAGCCTCTTGGACCCAAGTTTAAGGCTCTCTGCATTAGTTCAAGTTTGACTGTGTTGTTACTCAAGCAATCCCCAAGTGGCAGGAACATTGAAACAATACTCCCTCCTCACACAGGAGAGCCAGGCTCCCAGACAAACCCCAAATTAGCAAAGTTTAGTTGAGAAAATTCTGGAGTTAGGAATGAAAAAAATGGACAGGAGAAATGAGGTCACAAGTGAACTTTTCAAATGTTTTATATGCAATAAAATAATAACAATAATACATTAAATAAAAGGAATGAGAGTTTTCTTTTTTTCTTTTTTTTTTTTTTTTTTTTTTTTTCCCTGTAGCCCCAGCTGTCCTGGATTCACTATGGAGACCAGGCTGGCCTCGAACTCACAGAGATCCGCCTACCTCTCTCTGCCTCCCAAGTGCTGGGATTAAAAGTGTGCGCCACCATGCCCAGCCCGAGAGTTTTTTACATTGTTTAAAACAGTAAGAATGATAGGCTCCACATAGTCTTATTTAGTTCTTGAGATGGTTTCCCATGGTGAGAAAGATGTATGACTCACTCACTACGGGGGTAAAAATGAGGGTGACAGAGAAGCAATGAACGGTGGTGAAATGTTAGTTCAAATCATGGATGTCAATGATCTCAGAGTCACAGAAATCCAACCTTGAAGCTGTAATACCTTGCTTGTGTCTTTAGGTCTATCTAGCACATAAGTGGCATTACTTACTGACTTTGTCCCCTTGTGAAGATGCCTTTTGTCTCAAGTATTTTTTGAAGATCCCCACCCACTTTTGTACAGAGCTCAATTAAATCACTCCAGTTTTAAGGGCCGCTCATCAGCTGTTCAGTGAGGGCATTTAAATGCCAGTAACTTGGTGATTTAGGACTTTTTAACATTAACTTCTTCTCATTATGGTCTATTTAAAAAAGGTTCTCACATCACTTCTTTGTAAGTTCAATTAAATCATCCAGGCTTTGTCTGGAATTACCTTGTCAACTGTCCGGCAATGGTAATAAATGGTATCTGATGACTTAAAAGTTCTACTGAACATGGTTTCTGCTCAATATGATTGCTCTTGAAGGCATAATAGCACCTCTTTACAGAATTCTCCTAAACCACTCAAGTTTTGAACAGGTAAGATGTGATATGACAGGATACCAATGTTCATTACTTTCCTGGGACATTCTTAATCTTTTTCTTTCAAAAATTGGCTTCCTTTATGTATAACTTTTTCTTTCAATCTTATAACCTACTACTAATTTTCATTGTATATTTTGATAATCACTTTTGGGGTACTGGAAATTTCTGAGGATCATCCTACACAATATCACTTAAATTAGTGTGAACAAGTTCATATTCAAGTTTAGCTAATGACTGCTCTTAAACCAAAATTCAACACTCATAGGTTCTCCTTCATTCCCCCAAATCACTGCATTCAGGAATGATTGCTGAAAGATATTTTACCATCTCTAGCCAAATCTTCTGGGTTACATTAACAGCAGGCTCTGTTAAACTAGCTAGTGCCACTTTTATTAAGGAGACAGCAGTAGCAATGGTGTAAAAATGCCTCATAGTAGGATCCTCAGAACCTCTGTAAGATTTTGAACAGTAAAGCTATATATGATTACTGTGTCTTCCTGAATGGCTTGACTATACATTGATCTAAGTTCAAGGATTCAAGGTGTGGCTGGTTATAAAGACAGTGTTTACCCTACAATGCATATTGGCAAATACATGTGAAGGATGGAATGAATGATGAAGAACCAATAGGAATTTTGAATCGAAGATTGTTCTTTTCTAAGTAGTCTTGAACTTCTCTAAGAAAGCACTGATCAAGCCATTCCTCAAGGGGAGATGGAGTTGCCCAAGTTCTTCTGTTTGCATGCCAGCTCATGAAAAACTTGGCTCAGTTTTATTTCCCATGAGAACATTTGAGAATAGTTCTCTGGAGAACAGCAGTGCTTTCACTAAGAAGTCACTTGAATTATTGACACAAAACAGAAATGTCAGTCTCTGCAATTTTGTTGACCTAATGTTCTTCAAAAGCACAGGTAGGATTTTCAAGGTCTCTAAAAGCATGTAGCCTCAATAGCATCAAAGATTTGTGTAGGCCCATCCATAATCTCACTCTTCAATCACTATCTGCAAATGTAGCAGATATACTATAGGTACCCTTTCTTTGGCCTCTAGAAATTGGCACACCTTAAATTCTCAAACCATTCCTTGCTCTCAGAAAAAAAGTTTTCAGGATCCATTTTGTTGTCAAACATGTTTAGAAAGATTCCTCTTATATGGTCTCTTATGTGGAAAGTATTTCATTATTATTTTACTTCTCTTCAATCCTTACGTCACGAGGGAAAAAGCATCTTGTAGTTAATAGGAATTTCACCTTTTCTTATGATACAAATTGTGGATTCATTTACACCATATAAATACCCCAGAACTACTTCTTTTATCTCAAAGATCCAGATCAACAATATCTTTTTTTCCCCAAGAACATTACCTTTCTTCCCCTTTTAGTCAATTTCTGTGACACCAGTGACCTTGTGCTTACTCACATCATGTTCAATAGTTATATCATGTTTCAGCTTTTCATCAATGAACATACCTTATAGTTGTTGACTAGAGATTTCATAGGCCCAAGTGTCACAAAGTGGTAGCATATTCTATTTAAAGCAACAAGTTATATTATCAGAACCACCTGGGTGAACAATAATATACAGTAATTTTTCTTTTTTAAATATTATATTTTTATTTTCATTATTTCTATTTTATGTGTATGAGTGTATTGACTGCACGTATGTAGGTACACCCATGTCATGCAATGCCTGCGGAGGTCAAAAGAGGGCGCCAGATCCCCTGGAACTGGAGCTAAGACAGTTGTTAGCTGTCATGTGGGTGCTGGAAATCAAACCCAGGTCCTCTGCAAGAACAATCAGTGCTCTTAACTGCTAAACCAGCACTACAGCCTCTATACTATAATTTTCATGAACCTGGTACTGATGGTGTAGGTGACAACTAGCAGAGGAATAATAGAGGAAACAAATGACTGTTCAGTCCCACCTTGTGATATGGTCAGACATGAAATTGTGGCAACTTGAACTGACTCCTGGATACTTAATTTAAAATCTTCAGCTACCAAAAAGTCATACAGAAGTAAATCTACCTATATACTCAAATACTCAAAATGGACAACTTACAGTTAGGAAGGAATTGCTGTAAATTCTACCCTAGATCATCAGAAAGGAGGTCACTGTTTATATACACTCGACAGTATTCTTGCAATGATTTCCCTTAACTTAATTCTATGAATTCAATTTTATGTGAGAGGCAAGCACAGCATGTATATTTTCTGTTATCCCACAGGAAGTCAATCAGGCATGATTCTCTGATGAAAGGCAACCTCTGAGGATGTCATGTCAGGCAGGCCCTGAGCAGCCAATGCTCAATAACTGACTAGAAAGAAAGAAAGAAAGTTACAGTGAAAGAATAAACTAGCCCTTTTTCAATGCCCGGCCACTGATACTTTACTTTTATCCCCTCCTCCTGGGAAGATAGAGCGAAGCCTGGCTTTCTTATTCTTCTCCTCAGGGGCCATGGGGAGAGGTTTGGAGCTGTGGTTCAGTGCTGAAGAATCCCGGTTGTTACTATTCATCCTCAGTGGGGGAGCTGGGGGTTTTTCTTCATTATCCAAGCTGTCAGACATTTTCAGTTGCAGCTGATTTCAGAGTTCCTAAAGAAAGGGGGTGGCAAACAGGAGTTAGGGAAGTACAAGCCCAATGCAAGCCTAGTAAATATGGAAAGACTATCATCTCAGAAACAATACTGGTTTTATCTTCTCACTCTGGTTTTTATGTATCACTTTGAGTTTTTCTTCTTTTTTTGTAAATTTTTACTGAATTTTTGTGTATTTCATACAGAATACCTTAATCATCTTTATACTTTCTTCCCCACTGGCACCATCTCATTTGCGTTAAAGCCTATCAAGCCAAGCTAGTGTCCCCAGATGTCCATCTGAGCAAGTTCATCCCCCTTTAAGAAGATAAGTTAATCTTCACCCAGCAGAGTTTTTTCTTCTACAAGGAAGAAATTTGTCTCCCTAAAGGCTAACAAGGCGACTTCTAAGAGAAGCTGAAGTGAAGGCTTTCAATATTTACAGGCAAACACATAAGGTCCCCTGATTATTCCACAATGAAACCCTTCTTTCTGCTGTTCATACACAATCTCTATGTGAAAAATTTACAATAGTCTTTGAAAATATTTTCCTGATGATAATGATTAAGGGTCACAAACTCATCCAAGTTTCAAATTGACACAGGCTTGGGTATTGTTTAAATGGCCTGCAACCATTTCTTAGCTGCTTTAACATTGGAATGTCTTTGGTGCCTGCTTCTTAACTCTGTGTACCTGACTTACAAAATGATTTCTGCTAATTTTATAATAATAAACTGGGAAAGAATTTTATATATGTGGCATTTTCAGGAGAGTTGAGGTGTGCTATTGTGTAAGACAATGCCCATCTTTTCCCAAGGAAGTAAATGATAAAGATGGACCAAATCATGACCAATGGAGGAAGTCCAGTGCTTTGTAGAGACATCATAATCTTACTCCCTGTCATATTTTATTTCTTAGAACAGGGAGGAACAAGAGCATTGACAGAGGTGCCTGGGTTGTGAAATCCAATCTAGCTGTTAGGAATATTTTTGCTCTGAATTTTATTATTATTTAAGATTTTATTAAAATCTGAGTACATTCGTGTTTCATTCAAATGAAAGGGAGGACTGAGCTGGAAGGTGTGGCTTCTCCAAGGTAATGTTCTTCTCCAGAGTTCTTCCTATTCTAATTCAAGTCCTCCCCTTATACATTGACTCCTGCAAGCACAAGTCATGTGATAAGGGCAACTTTTGAATGTCTGGTTTTAATATGAGAAAAAGCAAACTCAATTACAATGATATTTCTGTAAATTTATCAAATATTACTTCACATTAATTTAAGAACATAGGAACTCTCCAAATAGAACTTATCCTTATTTACTGTTGGCATAAGAAATGATCTACCATAATTCCTTTTATCACTTTCATGGTCGCAAAGTTTATTATTTTAATACCGGCCTCTAAGTTATATCATGGTATGTGGAGAATTTAAAATTTTTATCTACATTTTATGAAATCATGTTGTTTGCAGAAAAATGAATGGAACTGGAAAGCCAGAGTCTAAAATACAAGTATCACACGCAAGATATAGATTTTTAAAAATATATATATATATATTAAAGTAGAAGGGAGATTTTAGGAATGGGACCAGAAAGAGGGAAGAGGGAAGAAAAGAGAGAGGAAGAGGGGGAGGGGGAAATATGATGCAAGTACATTATATATATTATATATATATCATAATAAAATCTATTATTTTGTACAATTAATATATGGTAATACAATTTTAAAACAATTTTTTGCTATGTTCTATATTCTATATTCAGTCTGGGAAGTGTCCATGAGGCCTCACCCCTCCCTAAGGGACAATAGGCAGTTAACAGTTGTTGGGGGTAGGGCGTATCCTTTTCTTCAGCTAATAAGTTGCCCTTGCTCTAGTAAATAACCACTCACTCACACCCAGACAAGAAACTTGAATTAAAATAAACTCAGTGGGCCACATACAGAAAGAAGAAAGACATGAGAGAAGGGGTCTTGTTAAGAAGGGTTTTAGCCAGAGAGGGGGGAGGATGAAAGGGCAATGAAAGGTGGAAATGACTAAAATTCATTACAGAAATATATGAAACTGTCAAATGAAAGACGAAACAAATATTATGTCACTATCCCTTAATGCCTTCTGCCATGCGGCTGTGCAGGAGATCTACTTTCTTTTGCTTTGCCATGCCTTGAATTATCTTAGTGAATTAAGATCAATTCTGTATCTATTCAGTAATCATGATGGTGAAAGTACTTGGCAAGAAATGCTTTGTCATCACTAACAACGCACATTTTCCTCTACAGCATGAAGTACAATGAAAAAATAACTGTGATGTCAAGGTTAAGTATATGCACACATGCTAGGTATGCTAGTAAATATTTTAACAAAAAGATGAAACCAGAACTAATGTATCTATATTTTCTTTTGCATTTTGATTTTTGGTCCTTCTCAACTTACTCTTTCTTTAGAAGAGGATGACTTCATCAGTCACATTAGTTTTTACCTGTCCAACTCATGGGTCTAATTTAACCACTGAGAAGAATTTGCTATGAGGTTGACTGTTCTGGGTTCAATAACAATGTCTAAATATGAAGGGATTATTGTAAAAATCTCAGATATGTAACATCTCTCTAGGTAAAAAATGAAATATGAAAGTTACTAGAAAACACCTGAGCATTTAAATAAAAAACACCAAGATTATTTCTGGAAAACCACCCATAGGGATTGAGAGCCAACATTTTCCAGATGATACATATTTGCTGATGACACATTCTTAACTTGAGATGACAGAAGTCAGAGACACAAGCATGTCCTCTTTAAAACAACCTGATCTTGTGTAACAAGGCAAGAGTCTAGGACAGCAACAAATCTAGGGCAACATAATTGAAAACACTGTGCTCTTTGTTTCTTGATAAATAGGTGTGGCTACTGACACAGCAGCCTTTTCTCATTCTTAATTACACTATGTAAACAGGGAAGCAGGCAGATGCCCTGCTTCTTTCCAGGCTGTCTGATTACCCTGATGCTATCTGACTGGGTATGCTTTAAGTTGAGAGTGAACTACTTGGAATGTAACACAAAAACTTTACTGTTTTAGTCTTGAAAACTACAACTCCAAATTTAAAAACACACTTGCTATGCTATCATAGTCAATAAACACCTAGTTTATATGCTAGACTTTCTAGTTCTCAACAAATTGTAGTTGTTTTAGTTTCATGGTCCCAATATTTTTCCTGTTTACCTATTCATTACAAATTTGATTTTCTTTGAATTATCCCGATACTACCTCAGTTCTTTATTATGTTTTATAAGGTACAATCAATAATTATTTTCTTGACATGCTTAACTCGCCTTCAAATAAAGTGCTTCAAAGCACGCTTCTGAAACAATGGAGAAAGGTGAGGTATTTAAAAGGAAGCTTTGCTGTTAAATGTGATTTCTTTTCCCAAGTGGGAAATATCTTGTACTCTTCAACAAATGTAGAAAAAGGGGATTCTGCTTGTAAAGAATACCAATTTACTAAGTCAAGTCCTCTTATGAGACAACTTTCTATGAAGGATATTACTAATGGATTGCTGCTTCAATCTGCCTATGATGTCATTATTACCAATAATTTAAGAGACTATTTTTCTTGGGATGGCTGTAAGCTCTATTTCAAGAATTGGACAAAAGCACCATTATTATCTAGGATCTCAGCAAAAAAAAAAAACAAACAAACAAAAAAAAAAACAAAAACAAAAACCCTTTACCTTTAAAGTTTAACTATTGTTGTTCACTTCTACAATAGAATCTTGCAACTGAGTGGCACTTTAGATCTAGCCACAGGCAATATGTTTCACTTTCAAAAATGGGCCTTAGTGTTTTGGAGACATAAGTAGTTGTCCACCAGTGTCCACAGTTTATATCTAGTCACACCTTGAATTTATACTTAGCTACTAGTTTTTTCAGAAAAAAAAATCAGAGATACTGGTTGACATAATTGCAATTGAAAAAAATTCACCTGTAATAAAAATAGATCATTTGTTTCCTAACCAAGGACCTTAAACACCCCATTTAAAAAGTACTGGGACACATTATCTCTCTGTTTTTCATGCCTTTTTCTCTCTCAGCCTCACACACAAGTGTGAGGGTATGCATGCACAGGTGACTATGTGAATAGACACAGCACTTCACTGACTTGCCTTTTGACACAGAGACTTATTGCGAAGCATTTTGGGAACAAAACAACTCTCAGGACACAGAGCAACTATAGATGACATGATTAGGAATGCTCAACAACTGTCATTAATCTGTCATTATTCCCTCATTTTTTCAAAATGTGTTCTGCTGCTATGCAGTGCCAATCTAAACACTCAGGTTAAAAGAAGGAAAGCCACCAACATGCATGCATCCAGAAGTCAAGGGAAAAGATCAGGAGTCAGCTATATTTTAGCTAGTATGACCAAAATTTCCACTATGGTGTATGTGTTGAATTGGATGTAACTAGGAAATGCCAATTGTGTCCATTTGTTACAAGTGTTAAACACAGCTATGTAAAGGATGAGAAGCCAGAAAATCAGGTCCTACAACTTACAAGATGATTAATTAAACCGTAAGCAAATGAAATAAATATTCTAATCAGATCTGATATGTGAGTGACATATATAGAAACAAATAAACGTATGATTCTGTGTACTTTCAAAATTCTTGTGATTACTTGCATATTTTTCCTCAATGGAAAGTATGTTGTGTGCTTTTCAACCAAAAGCCCAGCCTGGCAGATACACAGTCATCATTTAATGAAACCAGTGTTGAAACTCCAAAAACCACCAACAATGTAAGCCCATTGTCAGGCAATGGTAAGAATACTAACATTTTTGCCATCTTTGGATATGAATCTAGTGTATATAACTCAAGACAGGGATGGAGCCTAAAGAATAAAGGTAAATCTAGGGTAAACTTTCTAATGTTTATACCAAGTGAACATAAAAATGCACGAAAGAAAATAAATTTTAAGAGTTTGGAAGCATAGGTCACAGAACCTTATTAAAACCTGAGTGTGTTATC